GGTTCTCCTGCCGCTCTTTGGGTTCCACCCAGTGCTCTGAGCTGTGTTCAACTTCCACTCCGCCTCTCGGCCTGGAGCTGCAGCTGCGGCCCAGTGGACCACAGCGACAGGGATGGAGAGCCCACACCCCGGGGACGGCTCAGCCCCCTCCGTCACCCCTAGAGAAAACCTAGTTCCAGACCCGCCTTGGGACCTCTGGCAAGTTGTTAACCCCTCTCGAGTCGATCCTCAGTCTCACCATCTGTAGAATGGGAGCAGGGAAATCGCTTCTATGTGGGTCTTCTTTCCAACCCAAGGTGACAGACACATGGAGCTGTCGCCCCTGTGGGGACAATCTTGGGTGTACCCGTACCCGATTCCTTGGCCCAGTTGACTGGGGAGCTTGACTGGGCGGACAAGGGAGGTTTTGTGATACAAGCAGGTTAGCCCGGGTCGGGAGGGCTTAGGAAGAAGTGGGAGCAAAAGGTGCGTTCAGTGCCCCGGGGTACATCAAAAACAGCCATGTGGGAAGTCACAGAGGAAGCTACTGTTGTGTCGGGGCTAAAATGATGCACCTATTTGCATATCTCAAAACTTGACCGCTTAAAACAATTCTAAGGTCTGAGCATTTAACTAACTTGGTAGAGTGTTTACCTAGTATAAACGAAGCCGTGGGTTCGATCGGCAGCACCATATACCCGGGCTTGTTGGCGCAGGCCTGTGGAGTCAGGAGGATCAGAAGTTGAAGATGAGTCTCTGGTACGTGGTGGGTTCAAGGCCAGCCTGGGGTGCATAAGACCCTGTCTCAAAAGCAAACAATAGCAACGAAACCTTTTTTTAAGAATTATTCCTTCCTTTTTACAGATGGAGAAAGGGGATTTTGAGCTCCAAGTGCTTTCTCTTGGAAGCTCAGCTAATAATAAATAGCAGAGCTAGTTTTTCCACCCAGTGCGTTAATCTAAGGGTTTGTGGCGATTTCCCCCAGGTTTCAGGTGCCTTGTCTCTAAGATTCTTCTACCTGCTATTAACCCCAGACTCCATCAGAGTGCCGTGGTTCTGACTGTGGTCAGCCACTAGTTCTTGCTTGGTTTCCCTATTTATAGGAAACAGAGATGGGGTTAAATGGTCTCTCCAGAGACTCATTCACTTTTTTTTTTCTTGAGATTTATTTTTATTTGTGAGTGTCTTCATATCTGTACACGGGTGTTGGTGGAGACCAGAGGAAGGTGTCAGATTCGATGGAAATAGAATTGCAGGCTGTTAGGAGCTGCCTGATGTGGGTGCTGGGAACTGAGCTGGGGTTCTCTGGAATATGAGCTCTTAACCACTAAGCCATGTCTCCAGACCCTCACTCACCTTTTAAAATGTATATATAATTTAGTGATTAAAGCACACTGTACTCAAGGCTGGAGAGAGATGCTCTTCCATAGGACCTGGGTTTGGTTCTCAGCACCCACAGCCCAGTTCACAACCACCTATAACCCAGCTCCAGGGCTCTAGCCTCAGAGCATCTGCATGGACATGGTGCACACATATAAAGTCCTTTAAAGGGGGGATACACTGTACTGAAGGTTTTGTAGGGATTCCCCCGAACCCCCCATAATGAGAGCTACTAGGCTACAGTTCTGTAGGCCTGGGCTCTGGTATCAGTTCTGCAAGTGACTGGATTTCATTATCACACAATTTGTGAATAAGAATAACTAATGGGAATCGAGACCAAAAGATTTGGAAGTTCTTACCCTTTGGAAGTCATGTACCTTTTGGTGGGGGAGGGTCTACACTGTTTTATGAAAGTGGTAGCTATTGTTCCTCAAAAATGCACATGTATATGAAATGTTCCCCTCGCTTACTTGCAGGACAGAGGGTTGATCCATTTAAACAGTTCTGCTGATGTCAGGCGAATGCCAGCTGTTACCACAAACCTTTAGAGTAGCCATGGGTTGAATGATTACAAAAATAAAAAATTAGCGGGTACTTGAACTGTTAGTGTGCAGAGATTCCTTTCTTTTCTTTTTTTCTTTCTTTTTTTTAAACAGGGTTTCTTTGTGTAACTGCCCTGGCTGTCCTGGAACTCACTTTGTAGACCAGGCTGGCCTTGATCTGCCTGCCTTTGCCTCCTGAGTGCAGGGATTAAAGGCGTGTGCCACCAGTGCCGGTGAGTCCTAGCATTTAAGAACCCATGTTGGAGGACAAGACGCTGTCAGCCCAAGACTAGATCACTGACTTTAGTCTTATCTACCATGGTCTGAGTAGTTTATGTAGTCCTATACTGCCGTGGGTTGAAATTGAGTAAGCAGAGTAAAAGAAATTTTAAATGAGTTCACCACTTGGGCTTTGTTTTCCCAGTGAGGAGGATGTTGCCGTTGGACTGGAAAGAGTAGAAGATGAAAAGGAACTTGTGATCAGCAGTGAGTGTAGCTCCTTTCTCCAGGAACCTGCTACCTCTACTCTGTTTAGCGGTACTGCAGTGACAGAGTGCCACGAGCCCATCAGAAGAGGATGGGAAAGAGTTGTGAAGCAAAGACTGTCTGGGAAAACTGCGGGAAGATATGATGTGTACTTTATCAGGTAAGCACTCACGGAATAAAAATACAGCCAATTGATTTTTGTCCGTCATAGGAAAGGTTCGTAAGAATCTTAGGTTTATGGCCTGGGGAATGGCTCAGGGGGTAAGGCATTTGCCAAGCAAGCATGAGGACCTGAGTTCAGATCCCCAGAACCCATCAAAAAAGCTGAATAGGTGTGGCAGCTGCCTGCAGTCCCAGCCCTCAGGGCCAGAGGAGGGGTCTTCAGGGAAAGCTGGCTAGCTAGACTAGCAGCAATTGGTGAGCTCTGGGTTCGGTGAGAAACACTGTCTCAGGTAAAGTGGAGAGTGAGCAAGGACACCTACTTTTAACAGGGACACATGAAAACACTCATATACACATGTGCACACGCCACACTCACACACATTTAAAAAAAAAACTCATTATGAAACCACTATTCCTTCATTGTCACTGGTTGGTTTTATCAAGTGATTTGAGGACAGTCACATATACTTGTTGTTGACCCTTCGATCCATGCTCTAATGGTCCATTTGGATTTACGATACATGTTTGTATGTTGATTTTATATCGTCATAGAGGAATCTATTGAAAAGGGCCAATTATTACTTTTTGTTACTTTAAAATGGCAAGCATCTTTGGTGACATTTAGAAACTGTTAATTGGAAATCTGAAATGTGGTTCAGTTCTATTTAAAAGTCACTCCTATTAACTAGCATAATTTTCCTTTAATTTCTTTTTTTTTTTTTTTTTTTTTTTTTTCCCCACAAAAGAGAGAACTTAAAAAAAAAACCTTTCTTTTTATTTTTTTTTTTTTTTTTTTCCCCACAAAAGAGAGAACTTAAAAAAAAAACCTTTCTTTTTATTTTTTTTTTTTTTTTTTTTTTTTTTTTTTTTTAGCCCACAAGGACTGAAGTTCAGATCAAAACGTTCACTTGCTAATTATCTTCTCAAAAATGGAGAGACTCTCCTCAAGCTTGAAGATTTTGATTTTACTGAGCCATCAAAAGGGGGCATCAGGTCAGGTTATAAAGACCAAAGCTCAGCAGCTCTGACTTCCCAGCAACCAGAGAAAAGTGACAGTTCAAACCGGAATCTCAGGACACGAAGCAAGTGGAAAACAAATGTGTTGCCTCCACCAGGTGGTGATTCAGAGTTGCCAGGTAGCAGCAGTCTGTCTAACTCTGTTCTGCTATTGAAAGATGAACACATTCATGATGCTGACCCTGGAAAGATGAGGAAGCCCAAAAGAAGGGCAGCTGTTCGGAAAGGAATTGGAAGTGAGAAAACCAAGCAAAGGTGCAGGAAGAGCCTCTCAACGTCTGCTCAAAGTAACAGAAAAAGAGAGTCTGTGGATCGGAAAGCAGGCACTGAAAGTGAGCTGGTTCCACAGGAATGTCGGCCCAACAGGACCCTCTGCCCTGCCGATACCTGTGCAGGCCAGGAGGCTGTCAGCCTGGTGGCGGGAGAAAAGGGCCTAGGGAAGGAAAAGCCACCGAGTCCAGGACCAGATCTTCATTCCACACAAGTAACTTCTGGCATCACAAACAAATTACATTCAACTGAAGAAGCAGGCAATACGAAGTGTGAGCAGACTGTTTTAGAATTAGAGGAAATCAGACGGAAGGGAGACCAAGAGGGGGAGACACATTTGCATATCGACGTTTTTCAGGGCTCTGAAATGCCCAGCTGCTCACAAGCCAAGAAACTCTTCACTTCTGAGACATTTCGAGGTACTTGGCACATGAAAGTGCTGTTAACTCTGTGGTGACCAGTTTACCCTCCTGGAACTTGTTTTCCTTGCTTGGATGTAGTTGAGATAGGGAGTGTAGTGAAGAAGAGACAGGTGTCAAATATATTTTCCCAGTTGATCCCATTATCTGCCCCCTCTAAGTGGGCACAGGGTTTCAAGTATCCCAGGCTAGCCTGGATCTCACTGTGTAGCTGAAAATAACTGAAATTGTATCCTCTTGCCTCTGCCTCATGGGTGCTGGGATTAAAGGCATGTGCCACAATGCTACTTTTTTAATGCGATGCCAGGCATGGGATCCGGGGCCTAATGTGTGGTAGGCACGTGCTCTTATCAGCCAAGCCACACACCCATCTCCTAACTGATCTTTGAGCTGGCTGGTCATCAAGCCCTTAATTATGGCAGAGAGGGAATCAGCTGGCTACATCCAGGACGCCCAGCAAAGGAAGACTGGTGTGTCATGGCTGCTCCCACCTCACCTGGGCAGCAGCTGGGAGGTGGAGCTTTCCCCACTTGCCACCCTCTTTCTAGACAGCAATCTTAAGATTGTAAGGAAAATTAAATGGCTTCTCTGTGAAGACTGTAGGTTAGACTCCTTTTGTGCATAAACTGACCCAGAGTAGTCAGCACCCTCCCGCCCCTCCTGGACTGCTGATGTGCGACCCCCATTTAATTCCATCTACATCACAGTCCCTTTCTCTTCTGTTACATTCTGATGCTGCTCTAAAAGGCCTGGGAGCTCTCAATAATTCAAAAATATAATTGCTTACTTCATGTATTATTTGTATTGTGCTCTTCACACAGAGTCTAGGCCTTGGCAGTTTTGCCTATACAGTGCCTCAGTGAATAATAGATAAAAGATACGAACAGCTCTGGTTATTCATTATGCCATATGCTGTTATGGCATAATGAATAACTCCCTTAAAGAAGAATAGTAATTTTAATTTGACTGAGACTCCTTCAGGGAAACAGCCTGCACAGATTGGTGGAACCAGGATAACTCTTGATTTCTGCTTCAGTCCCATTCATAATGGTGCATCTCTCTGTGCCTGGGATTGCTGTGTCTTTAACAGGAGATGGCCACATATAACTAAGGAATGATTAAGAATTCCTCAGTGTATGTCCTTTGAGTTCTTAAAGAAAGCATCGGGTTGTATTTACTGCTATTATAACAGGCTGGTTAAATATTAGAAGCATCCTCCCTTGACTAATGTGGATGTATTGAATTCATCCTGTATTGAAGTTTAGTTCTCTGTGTAAGAGGAACTACCTCAGGGTTACTAGGTGCTCAGTGGAACAATTGCTTGGCTAGAAGTATCAAACCAACAGGTAGTAAGGGAGGCTGGGTAGTTATGTGTAAGAACCTATAGTAAACATCAAGTTTCTATAAGATCAGCTTCCTTTGTTCTGTTTCAGAGTTTCTTCTGGGCTTGACCTGCCCAGACTAGAATAGCAAAAGACACTGACATCATTAGGAGACCTGGATATTTGTTGCAGTGTTTAGTCAACCTCCGTATCATTTTCTGGCAATTATTTAATTGCCTTAGTTTAATTTAAGCCTTAGTTTCTGAAAATTTAAGCAATAACCCTAACTAGTCCCATTTTTCACATCAAGACAAAAGAAATCAGCTCAGCAGTTAAGAGCACTTCCTGCTCTTGCAGAGGGCAGGAGTTCAGTTCCCAGCACCCATGTCATGTAGCTTCTAACTGCCTAAAACTCCAGCTCCAAGGGATCTGATGCCCTCCACTGACCTCCACAGGTGCCCACACATAAATTAAAAATAAAGAATATTATAAGGTAGCTGAGTTTTGTGTTACATATCTATAATCCCAGCACTTGGGAATTAGGTGTAGAAAGATGAGGAATTCAAGGACAGCTACATGGCAAGTTTAAGGCAAGCCTGGACTACATGAAACACTGTCTCAAAACAGTAACAAAATAGTAATAGTGCAGTAAAAATAAGTGAAAAAAGATGGTTTTACAATATGCAAATGTAAGTAAGATATTAGTAACGGATACTCAGAGGGTGTGAAGTATGACCATTTAAATAGATGACGGTTGTAGAAATTGAGAGGTCTGATAACATTGGTTAAGATTTTTATTTTGTATTGATGTGGGTGGCTGAGTGGGTGTGAATGCCTCATAGGTGTGGGTTCCCACAGAGGCCAAAAGAGGATCTTGGATCCCCTAACACTGGAGTTACAGGCAGTTGGTACTAGGAACTGAATTCTGGCCCTCTGAAGGACCAGCAAGTGCTCTGAACAGTAAACCATTTCTCTAGGCCCTTTTTATTTTTTGAGACAGAATCTTACTATGTAGCCCTGACTGGCCTTGAGCTTGTATCTGTTCCTCAGCCTCTCCTGTGTTCCACCCTTTTGCTAACTACAACTGTGGAACCTTTGAAAAGTGCATAAAATTATAGAAGAAAAAAAAAATTACCTCTTCTACCAACCACTATACCATCTGAATTCTATTCTCAGTGTCTTTATGTGTGTGTGCATACATACACATATAAATCCATGTTTATAAAATTGGGATCATATGTAGAATCTTGACTTTTTTCATTTAGAAATAAATGTCTGAGTTAGAGACCAGTCTGGTCTACAACAGCTAATTCCAAGACAGCCTCCAAAGCCACAGAGAAACCCTGTCTGGAACCCACCTCATCCCAAAAAGAAATAAATGTCAGTGGGAAAGTATTCATGAAAGAGTGTCAGAAACATTTTAATGACCACACCATGCAATTGCATTAGGGTATTCATACTGTTTCAGTTTTTCCATACTGTGAGCTGGCCATGTAAACCAGAGTATCTGCAAAGGTGCGGGCTCTTGAGCTAGACTGCCTGGGTTTCCATCGCAGCTCTTATACTAGCTTGTAACCTGGAGCTTATTTAGGTTCTTTGTGCCTCAGTTTCCTTTTGTATAAAGTAGAGATAAAATGATGCCCAGCTGACAGGGTATTAGTAAAATTAGAGTAATTTTTGTAAGTGCTTTTTATGTAGCCCAGGCTAACCTCAAACTATTCTCCTGCCTCATGCTTCCATAAACCATAGATTCTCTAAATTTTCTTTTCAGAAGACAGCATCCCACGAACACAAGTAGAAAAAAGGAAAACAAGCCTGTATTTTTCCAGCAAGTACAACAAAGAAGGTGCTCACCCTTCCCCAGGCAGTATGGGGTGAGGTGGGGGGGATCAAAAATCTTTCATGAGTGCACCTTTGACACCCCTATGTTTTTGTAGCTCTCAGCCCCCCAAGACGGAAAGCCTTCAAGAAATGGACTCCTCCTCGGTCACCTTTTAATCTTGTTCAAGAAACACTTTTCCATGATCCATGGAAGCTCCTCATTGCAACTATATTTCTCAATCGGACCTCAGGTTTGTGGGTCATTGTCATCTGTGTCCTGGTGAGGAGGGAGAGAACCAAACTGGGTAAAAGGCCCAGGTTCAAGATCCGTTCTGAGTTTGTGACGTTGGACAAGCCCTCTTTCCCTTTCAGCCCGAAGAACTCTTCACCTGTGGGAATGTTAAAATGGATGACAGCCAACATCATTTTTAATACTGAGGGCCAGGTGGTCGTTGATTTTCTGCTTCTAGATTAGCTGTGATCATCAGTGAAGGAACAGATAATATTTTCCCATCCGTCTATCCTGCTTGGAAGCTCTCTGTGTTCACTGAATGCATATAGTGGTTACCTAGTGATCTAATGTTTTGAAAAGTGGGCCAGTTTCAGTATAATTTGGACCTGTAACCAAGTAGATGAAAGTGTTGGTATTTGTCTCTTAAGTGGCTACTGGTTCAGGTAATGATTTGACAGTAGCTAAACAAGCAAGGCTGGAGATGTAGGTCAGTGGGGCCCTTGCCCAGCATGCACAGCACCCCGATTCCATTCCCAGCACCACAAACACAGTAACAAGAAAGCTGCTGCCTGAAGTTCCTAGATGAGAAACTACCTAGACATGAAGTCAGCCCTTCCTAAGACATGTCTCCCATTGTTTGCTTCCCAGGCAAGATGGCCATCCCTGTGCTTTGGGAGTTTCTAGAGAAGTACCCTTCAGCTGAGGTGGCCCGAACTGCTGACTGGAGGGATGTCTCAGAACTTCTTAAGCCTCTTGGTCTCTATGATCTCCGTGCAAAAACCATTATCAAGTTTTCAGGTATGTTCCCCTAGTCCCAAAGGAAGAAGCAAATTGTACCCACTGAAGGCAGCCACACCTTAAATTTTAATGCCCTCAGATGCTCTATTAATTGAGGTCATTTAGCTCAAGCACCAAAGACATGTAAAACAGCCTGCTTGTCCCACACCACAGACTCCTGCTGACCCAAACCATAAATCTTTGCCCAACACTGAAGTAGCCATGTGCATAGAAGCAGGAAGTCATTTCCTCTGTCTACTTAGCAAAGCACAAGAGAATGGGTAGGAGGAGGCAGGTGATAAGGGTGCTGCCCCTTCACAAGTATAGGGAAGGTGACTTACTTGAGGCTGACCACATGTGTGGGGTGTGTCTCTTCAGATGAATATCTGACGAAGCAGTGGAGGTATCCAATTGAACTTCATGGGATTGGTAAATATGGCAACGACTCCTACCGGATTTTTTGTGTCAATGAGTGGAAGCAGGTAAGCCCACTGCTAGCCATAACATAGCCAGCACATTTGCCTCCAGGACAAAGTATTTCCACCAGTTTGCCTAGATGTATGAGACATGAGCCCTGTTGCAGTCCCAAGCAGAATTGCCCTCAGTTCAAGGAGCAGCAGGTTATGAACTGTAGGAGAGACTCCTCGGGTGCTGCCCAAGTCCCTTTGCTGTGGCCTCTGCTGACTTGAGCAGTCTGTCATTCCTGACCCTATTGCTGTCTTTTCCCACCCTTGTTCTGTGTCTAACACCGACAGGGATTCTTCCTGTTAAAAGGGGCCCCTAGAGCTGGGAAGAGATGGTTTACCTGGTAAAACTCTTTCCCTGAAGATGAAATTCAGATCCCAGAAATTACATAAAAGCCAGGCAGTGCCTGCCACACGAAACTGCAGTCCCGGCTGTGTGGGGCAGAAACAGGAGGGTGCCTAGAAGCTTCTGGGTAGCCCTGTCTAAGCTCATAGACCAGATAGCCTGGCCTGTGTGGTGAAGTTCCAGGCCGGTGAAAGACCATTTCTCAAACAAAATGTGGAGGGTAGACCAGGGACGTGGCTTAGGGAGTCAACATATTTGCTGCACGAGCCTGGCAGCCTGAGCTCCATCCCTGGAACCCACATAAGAGTGCCTCTAAAAAATTGTGCTCTGACCTTCATAGACATGCCTCAGAGGCACAACTAATAAAGTTGTAACTTTTTTCTGAAGGTAGAAGGTGCCTGAGTCCTCTGACCTCTCACATGCTCAGGCATTCGTGCCTGTACACATACCAAAAACAGGATTCTCCATAGGAGAGCAGATATTTGGACTCAGAGTGCCTAATTGTCAGGTTTCTCCTCCTATCTCAGACTGGAGTGTGGCATCTGGGTCCTAGTCAACTACCCATTCTATTTGTGCCCAGCACTGGTGCAGCCTGATGGCAGCCTGGCAGCTGGAGGCTATCCTGGCACCCCATCCTCTTGCCCTAACATATTAAATCACTGAGGTCTGGAGAAACCCAGGCTGAAGGGCCACAGTCCTCCTCCTTCACCACCAGAGCCATCCATTTATCCTCACAGGGTCTGTAACCTTCCAAAAGCTGGGTGCTAACACTTGCCTCATGTTGTCACTACCTTCTGCTCCTGGTCTGGGTTAGTTCTGAACTGGAAAATTCTTTGTAAACAACGCAGGATTTCTTGGGACTGGAAAGATGGCTCGGGGCTTAAGAGCACTGGCTGCTCTTCCAGAGCAATTCCCAGCAACCATCTGTAATGAGATCTGGTGCCCTCTTCTAGCCTGCAGGCAGACATACAGGCAGAACACTATATACTAAATAAATAAAACAATGCAGGATTTCTCTCACATAAGGTATAATTGTACAGTCATGGTTGCTACTGGGTTTAAGTTCCCTGTTTATGTCAGATACATTATTATAATAAACTACCTCACCAAACCTTTAAAAGTGTTTATGACTGACATGTTGCTTTCTTCCAGGTGCACCCTGAAGACCACAAGTTAAATAAATACCATGACTGGCTTTGGGAAAATCATGAAAAATTAAGTCTGTCTTAAAGGTGCCTTGTTTGAAGTTTGCTATGCATTGCTTTGTGCTTCCTTTTCTAAGATCCTCTGATGGACAGCGAGCTCCCTTCCCAGGCATGTAGATTTTTTCAGTTTGTGAGAAGTCCATGTGTGTCCTAAGCCTCTGCCACCAGTAGATCTTTGTCAGTGAGTGTTGTAGACATATTTTGAATTTGAAAAGGTAACTGTTGGGTAATGGTCCTAAAAGTGTGTTGTTTTTCCAGTGATGAACAGTGCATTGGTGCTCAGCACCAGTTATCAGCATTCCTGCTGAAGAAAGATTAAACATGTATTCTCTTTCTGTACAAAGTGAATCTAGGGTGTACAATTGTCACATGAGGAAAGAACCTGCCATTCTTATGGATATCGCTGCGTTATAATTTAAGTAGTGAGGCATTTACCTTAGAAAGAAATCACCAAATAAAAACTTAATTGACCAACACATAGTAGTACACACCTGTAATCCCAGCACTCTGGAGACTGAGGAGGAGAATGGAAAGTTGAGGGCTAGACTGTACTACATTAAGAGAGACTCTGTCTCAAAAAACAAACAGGGCAGGGAAGTGGCTTAGTAAATAAAGTCACTTGTTGCTAAGCCTTAGGACCTGAATCCCATCCCCAGAACCAGCTCCTGTTGGTTGACCTCTGACCGTCACTTGGACTCACACAAACATATTACATAAATATATTTTTTTAAATATTTCATTTATTTATTATGCATACAACATTGTGCTTCCATGTATATCTATACACCAGAAGAGGGCACCAGGTCTCATAACAGATGGTTGTGAGCCACCATGTGGATGCTGGGAATTGAACTCAGGACCTCCAGAAGAGCGGTCGGTGCTCTCAACCTCTGAGCCATCTCTCCTGCCCTACATACATATATTTTTTTTAAAAATTTTATGATATGGTCTGGAGAGAGATAGCTCAATGGTTTTGTAGCTTGCTGCTCTTCCAGAGGATCTAGTTCAGTTTTCAGCACCCTTATCGGTAGCTCACAACTGCCTTTCACAACAGCTCCTAGGGCTCTGACACCCTCCTCTGGCTTCATTGGGTGGGTACCTTAACACATGTGGCATCTATGTGCATATACATTTTTAAAAAATATAAAAATTAAGTCCTAATTACTAAACTATTTTAAGATGTAATCTGAAAATTAAATTATACCTCTCCCTCCTCAAGGCAAATATCCACTCAAAATGCAAAATATTGCATCCTATTTTTCATTAACAAAATATTTTCTAATATATCCAGTAACAAAGGTTCACCTATGCCAATCATGTTGATACACTACTATAATCCTAACACTTGGGAGTCTGGCCAAGATCATGGTAAAGTTCAAGGCCAGCCTGGACCACATTGTAGTTTCTAGGACAACTTGGGCTACATGGGGAGACCCAGTCTCAGAAAAAAACCTTAAAGATCCATCCGTGGCACACACAGTAAGAAAAGAAACAGATGGGCATTGTGGAGCGTACATAAAATCCCAGCACTTGGGATGCTGAGGCAGGAGGACTGCTGGAAATTCCAGGCACCCTAGCTTATGTGAATGTGAGAGCAGCCTTGGCTATACATCAAAATCCTGTGTCAAAAAATATAAACTGAACTTGTTAGACTAAATAAAACTATGTCTGGAGAAATGGCTGGTTGTCCTGTTTAATGGAATTCTTTGGTTTTTGGAGAAAGGGTATGTCTATGTAGCCTTGATTGTCCTGGAACTAGCTCTGTAGACCAGACTGATCTTGAACTCAGAGATCTCCTGCCTGTGTCTCCTGTGTGCTGGGATTTAAGGTGTGTGCCACCACAGTCCATCCCTGTTTAATGGAATTCTTCAGATTTGATGTACAAATAGGTTTCACATTGTATGTTAGGTAATTAATAAAAATATTTTTATTAAAAAGGAAGGTTCCTTTGGCATCGAATGTTCTTGGGCACTTACACTGGCTCTTAGGAACTTTGGATTTGACCTTAGCATCACTGTGAGGATGTGAACATCTGTCTGCCTGTGGCTCCTTTGCAACTCATTCCCTCAACCATGATTCTTTGTGAAATCTCATCTCCTCTCCCAGTTAAGCTCGGGACCTTTTGATGTTAGTACCATTTCCATGACAGGTGGTGTAGTGTCGTGGTTCTAACCTCAAAGTATTTGCCTTAGAAATCACCAAATGGTTTAGTTTGAAAATTAAATCAAATGAAGGCAAAGTAAACCAACTGTCAGGAGGCCATTTGTTGTGGGATAGCATGTGCACAGACAGATGTGTTATGATGCAGGCTAATTGATTTTCCCCTCTGGTGAACAAGTGGCAGCTGTTAAAGAGAGATGCTAGGGCTGGAGAGATGACTCAGTGGTTACAGTAGCCAGTTTCGGTTCCCAGCATCTCCAGGGAAGCTGTTACCCTCCTCTGGCACCAGGCACATGGGTAGTATGCATACATACATGAAAATAATAAGTACACATAATGTAAAGAGAGATGCAGTTTGACCTCCCTGTCCACTTCACAATAACCCATCACATTTTACAGACATCACAGCAGCGCACACAAGTGCAGAGCCCTGTGCTGGAGAGAGGCAAAAAGATGAAAAGGCCCTGTGGAGTCCTCCTAGGACGAGAGAACAGTGCAAATAGTAATGGAAGACAGCAAAAGGCGTAAGTGTGAGGGTGGACACCCAGGCACAAGCAGCTCAGAGTACAGAGAAATCTGGGCCACAGAGAAAGTTCTCTAGCATCAGCTAAGGGGGTACGGCTGCAGAGCAAGGCCCCCTCCCCTGTCACCTCGGAAGGGAGCTCTGCCTGGCTGGCCCCTGGGGTTCCAGGCCTGCCTCTTCCCTTTCAGCAGATAAAAATCACTGGGCCTCCACACCTTTCCTCATATCTCAATAGGATCCTGTTGCCTAGTTCTCACAGTTTTGTATTTAAATGACATGACTTCCTCGGGTTGTAGAGGGTTAGGAAGATGTTATGTCTAGTGAAGGCGGTCCCCAGCACAGAGAACTTGTTCAAATGTTGATCTTTGTTTTTTGACATAAAGCTTAGAAATGATTGTTTTAGGGTCAGAGATGTAATTAAAGAGTTGTGTTTGCCTGGCATGCATAAGGCCTAGGGCTCAGTGCCCAGCAGCAAAATAACTTTGTTATTTGAGACAGGATCTCTCTGTGTACACCAGGTTGGCCTCCAACTCACAGAGATCTTCCTGTGTGCCACCACACCTGGCCACTTAAAGAAAAATTTTAATTTCAATTCAAATTGAATTAAGTAGTTTTTGTTTTGTTTTTAGCACATCTGCAGTGCTGTGCAGTCACTGTCACTAGCTAATTTCAGGACATTCCCATCACCCAACAGGTTCTAGTTACCAGTTAATCCCCACCCCACCCCCATCGCTGTCACCAGGAGCGGAACTAACTGTGTGTCTGTAGACTTGCCTGTTGTGGTCACCGTATAAATAGAACCCTACAGTGTGAGGCCTCTGAATCTGGCTCCTTTCGTTAGCTGGAGTCCTCCATGTAGCACGTGTCAGTACTTCACGTGTCTTTGCATGCACACCCCATTTTTCACCCGTTGGTGGACATTTCAAAGGGTTATTATTAGGACTGGTTCCCAGTCTGTTTCTGATTTTGATTTTTAAAGATAGGTTCTTACTGTGTATCTCGGGCTGGCTTGGGACTCATCATGTAACACAAGCTGGCCTCAAACTTCTGTCTGTGCTCCTACTTGTCTGAGCAGTGGGATATAAGCTAAGCGTGTGCCACCATAACTGTGATGCACCCAGTTAAAGTACCAAATACATCTTTAACTGACTAGGGTTCTCACAGCCCAAGGGAATGTAGCACATTTTTTTTGAATGAGAAAAATGAAGATGGGGACATCTGCCAGGAAACAACAAAATAGGGGGATTTTCACTTCATTTTCAGAAGCCACAGGAAGGTGTCTGTGGCCTCCTTATAGGAGGGGCCAGCCTGGGTCTAAGTCGGACACACCCAGCTTCCTGGTTTTCTTCCAGCACGTGGGAGCGCTCAGCCAATCAGATCAAAGCATCTTTGTTATGGCAACGGGGCTTTCTCGCTCGCTCAGCAACTTTTGCTACCTAATGCAACACTTGGAAGTTAATTTGCATCAAACGTCTAAGCCTGGTGTCTGCTCTACAGCGCCATCTACAGGAATTTGCTGGCTCCCAGCGGCAGGGCCATTGGGGGAGGGCCAGGGTAGGCTGGAAACCACATTGTGCGGTCTCAGTTCTGCGAGAAGGGTTGCCAGGAGTTTCAGGAGGTCACAAACTCTTCCAGGGTTCCCATGCCCGGACTTAGCTTGAGGAGCAGGCTGAATCCCCTGGCTTGGAATTAGAGCCCAAGCTCTTGTGCCTGGGACCCTGAATACTTCTGGGTTGGGCAACAATGCATCCTATATTGAAGAAGAGATCTGGAGAAGTCGACTGTCCATGCCCAGTAGAGTTTTCGACAAAGGACTGCAATTTGAAAGGTGAAGGACACAGACAGACGAATGGAGATGTGGAACCAGCAGACCTGCAGACCGGAGCCCTCCACATGTCTCCTTCCCACCCATCTAATGTTTCAGAGAGTAATGCCGATTTCCCTGGCCACCCTTCCCCAGAACCCAGCAAGAATTGGTCAAAAACCCTGACCAAATACACCAGGAGGCCAAAGGGGGGGGGGATTAGTCGGGTGGCATTCCAGTTGACATGCACAGACTTTGGTAAATGAGGGTACTTCTCATGGAGATGGTTAGATGGTACTGGAACCAGGGTACACATTAAATCTTAGTTGGTGGACACCTGAGACTCTGTAAAGTATTGGAGTGAGATGTTTGCAGAGCAGCTAGATTCGTGGCAGTGCTGGGATGGGGGTCCTCAGCACAGAGATAGGTAGGGGGAAACCACTGTCCCATGTAAAGTGTGGATGCTTAGGAATGAACAGGACAACAGGAACCTAGGATGGAGGCAGAAAGGGAGGCAGCAGCTGAGCAGTGTGGATCATAAAAGGACAATGAGTGTGTTTTCTAAGACCAGCAGGTGCTCCGGGGAAACACATTTGGGTCAGTGAATGGAGTCTTTTCCAGAACTTGGGGTCCACCATTGAAGGTCTTTGTGTCCCTGGGAATGGACAAACAAAACCAAAGTGACAGCCATTGACGTCAGAGAGCACACTTGTCCTGGGCAGGAGCTGGAACTCAGTTCCTTCCTTTCCAATTCCACCATCTCTTCTAATGCCAAGATGGCAGCCTTAGCCTGTCACTGCAAGAGACCACCTCCTGTGGATGGTCACAGCCCTGAAGGGCACTAGAAAGAAGTGCCATGAAGAATGGGTGGTGGGCAGGCCACTGGTGGCTAGGATGATCCCTGTTGTTTTAGTCGCTCACTGTTCTATTGCCCAGAAGAGACACAGCTCTTCAAGGCAGCTCTTATGAAAGGCAGCATTCAGTGAAGGCTGGCTTACAGTTTCAGAGGCTTAATCCATTATCATGGCCAGTCAGCATGGTGGCATGCCGCCATGGTGCTGGAAAAGTAGTTGAGAGCTACACCCTGATCCACAAGCAGGGAGAGAGACTGGACCTGGTGTGGACTTAAAACCTCAATGCCACCCAGCAGTGGTGGTGCATAACTTTAATCCCAGCCCTCCCTCAGGAGGCAGAGGCAGGCGGATCTCTATAAATTCGAGGTCAACCTGATCTACAGAGCTAGTTCCAGGTCTGGTAGAGCCACACAAAGAAACCCTGTCTCAAAACAAAAACCCCAAAGCCCACCTCCAGTGACACATTCCCTCCAACAAGACCACACCTCCTAATCTTTCAAACAGTTCTACTTCCTGATGACTAAGTATTCAAACATGTGAGCCTGTGAGGGCCATTCTTATTCAAACCAGCACACTCTTCTGTGAACCACAGGATGGAAAGCCTCAAGGAACACCATTCCCTTTAGAGCACACAGCAACTGGGTAAATGGAACCCCAGGGCCAGGCAGAGAGACATGACTGAGCAGAAAGGACAAATGTAGACAATGGGACAAGGAGGGTAAGAAATCACAAGGGAGAATAGGGGTAAAGAGCTTTAGGTCATGGCAGGAGGTATGTTAACTCCAGGGGCACTAAGGAACCAGCCTTGGTGCTGAAAGCCTGTCATCCCAGCATTTGGAAAGCAGGGCATCCTGGTCTACTTGATGAGACCCTGGCTCAAACCATGCTGTGTGATGAGACTGCATGTGGGGGCTGCCGGGAACCCAGGGGAGTGGGAAAGGAGCTGGGAAGACAAAAGTTAAGTTAGAAATACTTAGGTAAAGGAGGTGGGGCAGTATGTGTGTGAACTGGGCTTCCTGTGCAGTGAGCTAGTCGGAACTGTTGGTACAAATACAGGCAAGGGGCCAGTGAGATTGCACTGTGTCCAATCCAGTCCCTGGCACAAACCATTTAGAAATGAAAGTCTTGAGATAGGAGATCAAGTGACAGCTGGGTCATAGCAAATAGTGGAAGAGCTGGCTCTGCAGGATTGAAAGATGTCTCTGTAGTTTAGAGCACTTGCTCTTGCAGAGGACCCAAGTTCAGTTCCCAGCTCCCACATGGAGGCTCACAACTAGTTATAACTCCAGTTCCAAGAATTCCAATACCTTCTGGCCTCTGTTGGCTCTGCACACATGTGGTGCACATACATACATTCACACAAAACATTCATACACATGTTAAAAAGAAATCCTAAAACAAAGAACTCGTCTGTGGGGCTAATTAAGCTCTTTTAGTAATCAACCCAGGGACTTTGGACCTCTTTGGGCCTCTGTCACTATCTGAAAAATGTGGCCAGTCATAGCACCAACCCCATGTCTACATTTTCATTCATAAACTGTTTAATGAGTTCCCATTACATGGAAGCAGAGAATCAGACACAGACAAGGTCATGGTCCTCATGGAACTGTTTACTAGAAAAACAACCAAGGAATACACCATGAGCCTCAAACAGCAAGGCCCCCCTTAAGCAGTTATTAAATGAACTGAGCTTAATGGAATTGTGGAGACGTACTGCAAGCTGGAGAGGCCATGCTCCAGGCTCAACTGGAGACTTTTTAAGCAGTGTCCAACCATGTGAGGGCCACCAATGTGCAGCTCTGAGTGCATGCAATTGTGTCTTAGCTTTTCTGTTGCTGTGATAAACACCATGATCAAAAACAACATGGGAAGGAAAAGGTGTATTTTACTTTAGTTTATAGACCATCACCCAGGGGTGTCATGGCAGGAGCTGATACAGATGCCATAGAGGAGTGATGCTTATTGGCTTGCTCCTTATAGCTTGCTCAACCTGCTTTTTTTTTTTTTACTTTTTTTTCCAAAGTCTCTTTTTCTTTTTTAAAGATTTTATTTATTTATTATGTATATAACATTCTGCTTCCATGTATATCTGCACACCAGAAGAGGGCACCAGATCTCATAACGGATGGATGTGAGCCACCATGTGATTGCTGGGAATTGAACTCAGGATCTCTGGAAGAGCAGTTGGTGCTCTTAACCTCTGAGTCATCTTCTCCAGCCCCTCAACCTGCTTTATTATAGCACCTAAGATCACCAGCCTAGGGGTGGTACTATCCACAGTGAGCTGGGACCTCGCACATCAATCATTAATCAAGAAAATGCACCAAAGACTTCCCCACAGGCCAAGTTCTAGAAAAGCATATGACAGAAGGCAGGTTAGTTGTGCAGCAGTTCAGCCAGTCCTTACTTGGGAGGAGGGTGACTTTGTCCCTAGGATGCCTAACTGTCTCCATTAACAACTGCACAGAGGGTCTGCTATAGCTTTTATATATATGGGTGTTCTGCCTGTGTGTGTGTCTGTGAACAATGTGTGTATGGTACTCTTAGAGGCCAGAGAAGGGTGACAGACCCTCTAGAACTGGAGTTACAGATGGCTGTGTACTACCATGTGGGTGCTAGGAACTGAACCCAGGTCCTAGCTCAGGAGATCTTGTCCCTTTCCCCTTCTCCAGGGAACCATGTATGTTGATTTTTTAACACCCTACCATCTCCATGGATAACATAATACGTGTGTGTGTGTGTGTGTGTGTGTGTGTGTGTGTGTGTGTGTGTATTTCAGCAGGTAGAGGACAGCTTGTGCCATGGTACAGGTGTGGTCAAAGGACAATTTGTGGGAGTCTGTTCTCTCCTTCTACCCTGTGCGTTCCAGGGATTGAACACGGTTGTCCAGCTTGGCAGCAGGCACCTTTATCCACTCACCTGCCCACCATGTCATTACAAGTTGGGGACTGAGGAATGTAAGTGGCACAGAGTACTTCTCCAGCAAGCACCAGGCCCTGGGTTCATGTCTTACCATCATGAAGAAGAGAACTTGCATGTAATGAACGTAGATGTGCGTGTATATATATGTGTACATATAGATACATATATAGCAGTACACTTATGTACAAAGCAATGCTAATAAACACCTACATTGCCTGATAAATTAGGTATCCATTATCCCCATCTCTTTTTTTTGGGGGGGGGGTTCAAGACAGGGTTTCTCTGTGGCTTTGGAGGCTGTCCTGGAACTAGCTCTTGTACCAGTCTGCTCTTGAACTCACAGAGATCCGCCTGCCTCTGCCTCCCGAGCGCTGGGATAAAGGTGTGTCCTGCCACTGCCGCCACCACTACCCGGCCCCCATTATCCCCATCTTAAAGAAGAGAGTGAGGGGCTGGAGAGATGGCTCAGAGGTTAAGAGCTCTGACTGCTCTTCCAGAGGACCTGGGTTCAATTTCCAGCACCCACATGGCAGCTCACAACTGTCTGTAACTACAGTTCCAGGGGATCTGATACCTTCACACCAATGCACATAAAATAAAGTTAAATATAAAAGAGAGAGTGAGTGAGACAGATTGAGCAGGAAGCTGGCCAGCACTGACCCAGGCTCTCTGGATCAGAGCCTTTGCTCCCACCAGAGGGCGCTGTGGTGCCGCTGTGGTGCCTAGGATGGTCAGACAGGGTCGGAGCACATGCAGAATGTAGCGGGAGTTGGATACTGTGGGAAACCCTTGGCTTTGTGCCTTCTGTTGGCATGCAGATCACATTAGCTTGGCATGCAGATCACATTAGCTTGAGGGAGCAAAAATTAATACAAGTTTAAAAACTTAGGCCCTGAAAAGGGAACTTCTAATGATAAGGGAAAATTTAACTCCTTAAATCAGGAGTGCCATGGCTAGCACCTGATCCCCTGCTCTCAGAGAAGGGGAGGTAACTGTCCACCACTCCTGTTAACATTCCTTGGATAATTGCTGGTCATAAAGATCCCCCAGCCCAGGGGATAACTGACAGACCCTGTGACCTTATAACCCTGCAAGCCCATGCCCTATCTTATCCCATTTAAATGTATCTCACTTAAAATATATGGCTACTGCTTTACTCTGTACTTTGTATGACCTTAAGTAACCATGGAAACTCTGAAATTTATGGCCTTCAACCTTATGGTCTGCCCCTTTAAAAGCTTCTCTTTTTGGCTGGTTGGCATTTCATTTGCCCGACATGCAGTGAGATTCTTGCTGGCCAGCTTGAAATAAAAAGAAACCTTTTGCTTTTACATCAGTGTCGACTCCTTGGGTTAGTCTCTGGGCTCCAAGAACCTGACACAACATGCTAACATCCTTTTCTTCACCATCATGATGCAGGGATGAGAGCCAGGCAGGGACCAGGCACTGTGATACACAGCCAGGCCAGGCAACATTTTCCCTTCCCTGGCTTCTGTTATTCATCTTCCAAAAAGGAACTCACTTTGTAACCCTCTTCTTCCAAGGGACCTTCCCATCTTACACCTGGATGGATGATGACATGGATGAAGCCCCCAGCCAAGGACCTGTCTTCAATCCTGAGCTGGTCACTGCCCACTGCTTCAGGCAGTTCAAGAAAGACTTCCACCTGCCACGGTGCCGCAGGCGAATCATCATTGTGCCTGGGACAAAGGACCAGGTGCCAGCCCACCCCACGTTGCCCCCTAAAGCTCCCCCTCCACCCATTCCTACCTACAAAACTCTAGACTTTACAGACATCCAAGAGCAACCAGTGGACAGGAAGGTCTGGCTGAGCCAGAGGGCAAAGCTCCGGAGGCAGCTGGAGTCACTTGGTGATGTCAAGACCTGGCTAGAGAATAAGCCTCACATAACACCATCAGAGGCCAAGGTTCTGTTGATGATTCGCCAAGAGCAAATAGCCCGCAGAGCTACCTACATTACAGGGAAACCCAAGGTGAGAAACCCTGATGGCCAGAAGATGCTGAAGGCTTTAGGGATCTGTTGCCATTTTGTTTCCTTGGATTAGACAGGACAAGGTAGTTTGCCCCCCTTTTTTTTTCCAGAGGAGCAAAAGCAATTCCCCAAAGGAAGGTGTATGAGTTATCTATTGCTGCATAACAAATGCCCCAGAGGGACTTAAACAAATCCTTATTATTGCATACAGCTGTGTCTGTGACTCAGGAATCTAGCAGTCAACTAGCTGGGAGGCTTTGTCTCCATATCATGAGACTGTGACCCAAGGACAGCCTCTGACTTGACCAGTGCAGGAAGACAGACTGCCTTCCAAGCTTGTTCAAACAGCTATTGACGAGAGGTTTTATTGCCTTCCTCAGGGACCTCCCAGAGGCTGCAGACAAGTTCTCACAATAAGAAGGCTAGGTGCCCCCAGCGTGAGCCTTCCAGAACAGAGAGGGAGGAGGAAGTCATAGTGCTATTATGCCCTAGGCTCTGGTCTTGATGGTCTACAAGGTCAGAATGAGCCCGCTGAGGACTGCCTGCACCATGGGGATGGAAAAGGAATTCCATCTTGGCAAGGAGACAGTCTGAGAACACATAGATGAGTTTTAAAAGCACCCCAGCTGGGCACACTAGCAGTCAGTCTTAAATGTGAACACCTGTCTGCTGGTAGGGACAGGTGCTAACCAGTGCTTGTGGGCTAGTTTGGGGATCACAGCTGTGAGGTAAGGGTGAGGAGGACTACCACGTGGTGATGGCATCACCTAACTTGGAGTCGTGATTTGTACCCTGAGAATCGAAGTTCAGTCACCCATCCTCATAAGTCAACTAAAGCAGCCAAATTATTGATAATAAAGAACAGATAAAGATTTATTTAATGTAAAGAGGGACAAAGACATACAATCCATCCTCCCCTCCAGTCCCTCTTTGGGTTCTGAAGTGAGATTAAAGTTTAACTAGAGGGCTAGGGATATGCACATCTAAGCAGTTCAATCATCTGCCACACTCTCCTCTTCCAGGTTAAGGCTCCCAGACAGGTCCGTCGACCTCTACCCATGCTGCTACTGCCCAAGCCTTCTGCCTTGGCGGACTTGTACTCCTACCTGCGTAGCCAAAAGATCAGGATTCTGGATTTATTTAGCAAGGTGGACCGGGGTGAGAACCAGCGAATTTCCAGGGAGGAATTTATCATGGCTCTGAAGACAGTTAAGTACAAGCTTCTCCACTGGGCCTGGGGTGTACCCTACCTCTGGAGGCTCTGGGGTTCTCAGACACATGGGTTTACACTACCAACCTCATACTTGCAGAGCCACACTGGAAAACATGGCACAACCCACAGTCAGATCACAGCCTTAAAACCACCTCTGCACCAGGCTAACCTGGAGAGATGGCTCAGTTTCCAGCACCCACATGGCAGCTAACAACCAACCACCTGTAATTCCACTTCCAGAGGATCCGATGCCCTCTTCTGGCTTCCACGGGCACTGCATGCACACAGTGCACAAATAGAAGTGCAAGTAAACCATCCATATGCACACACAAGACAAACAACAAAACCTTCCACCATGCACTGGGGTGCAGCTCAGTGGTAGAACCTGTGTTTAGCATGCACAAGGCCTATCATTGCATCACTAGTGTCAAGCAAAAGCCAATGCCATATCTGATGCTAGAGAGATGGCTCAGTGGTTAAAGCACTCGTTGTTCTTCCAGAGGACAGAATTCAATTCCAAACACCCACATCAGGTGGCCACAACCACCTGTAACTCTAGGACCCACTTCTTATACTTTCGCTCTTCAGGGTGGGTCTTTCCACTATAATTAAGCTAAATCAAGACAATACCCCAGAGGTATGCCAGAAGCCACCTTAATCTAAGTAACCCTTCTCAAGTGCTGATATTAAAGGTGTATGTCACCACTGGCCATCCCCCAGTGTTTCCTTTTGAATATAGTGTCTGTGTGTGTCTGTGTGAGAACAGGTGCACATTTGTGCTGGTGCCTGCAGAAGCCAAAAGAGGGCATCAGATCCTTGGAGCTGAAGTTTCAGATGGTTGTGAGCAGCCAGATGTTGGTACTAGGAACCTAACCCAAGTCCTCTTCAAGAGCAGCACACATGCTTAACTGCTGAGCTATTTCTCTAGGTGCCCATCAGTCTCTCCAGCTGGGGCTAGAACTCAGCACCTTGCATAGACTAGCAAACTCACTACTACTGAATGAACTATATACCCTGACCTACAGTTTCAAATAACCAATTTTCAAACATTTTTATGAAATATAATTACATGGCTGGGCATTGGTGGTGCACGCCTTTAATCCCAGCACTTGGGAGGCAGAGGCAGGTGGATCTCTGTGAGTTCGAGGCCAGTCTGGTCGCCAGAGCGAGTGCCAGGATAGGCTCCAAAGCTGCACAGAGAAACCCTGTCTCGAAAAACCAAAAAAAAAAGAGAGAGAGAGAGAGAGAGAGAGAGAGAGAGAGAAGGAAAGAAAGAAAAGAAAGAAAGAAATATGAACAACATCCAAAACATTTTTTAAAAGTAAATGTCTTCAAATACCAAAAAAACATAGTTTAAATATTAAATCTTGGGCCAGGAGATATGGATTAGCAGTTTAAGATCATTTGCTGCTCTTGCAGAGGACCATGGTTTGGTTCCTAGTCCCAACACCTACACAACAGTTCACAATCAGTAACTCCAGTTCCAGGGTATCTGATACTCTCGTTGGACCTCTTCAGACACTAGGCATGCATATATGGTGCACTTACATACATATAGGCAAAACATAAATACATAAAATATTTTTTTTCTGAGACAGGGCTTCTTTGTAATAGCCCTGGCTGTTCTGGAACTCTGTAGCCCAGGCTGGCCTCAAACTTACAGAGATCCTCCTCTCTGCCTCCTGAGTGCCGGGATTAAATGTGTGAGCCACCACTCCGGGCTAATCTTTTTTAAATGTTTAAATATGAAGCCCTTTAGCACCAGGACAGTTCTGAGCTGGACCAAGTGTCAGGGCCCAAAAATTATTGATTATAGTAAAGTACTGGGGTCTGCTCCATTTCCAGGAGCCTGAATCTCCCATTGTCTCAGGGACAGTTCAAAATGACTGTTGTCTAAAGGGAATGAAAAGACAATTATACTCACAATTATGTTTCCTTTCAAACTTTCCTTTCTGAACATTGAATGTTTCTAGGAAACACTGTGTACCTCCAAAGTTGTCTGTTGTCCTTTGTGGTAGTCAGGGTTCTCTAGAGAAACAAATCTGCATGTATGGTGTCTATTAGAGCAGCTTACAGATTATGGTCTGACTATTCCAACAGTCTCCTGATGGAAGGTTCAAGAACCCAGTGTTTGTTCAATCCACAAGGCTCGGTGTCACAGCTGGGCTTCAGTATGTGCCAGAATCCCAAAGGAAGAAGTAGGCTCTAATGCCAGACTTGCCAGTTAGAGCAAGGGCAAGCAGGCAAAAAGAGAGCTAGCTTCCATCTTCCATGTCCTTTATATAGGTTGCCAGCAGAAGGTGTGGCCCAGATTAAAGGTGGATCTTCCCACCTTAAAAGGTCTGTGGTATAATCTTTCCACTTCAAATGATTTAGTTAAGAAAAATCCCTCACAGGCATACCCAGCCACTTGGGGTTTAGTTAATTCCAGATGTAGTCAAGTTGACAACCAAGAATAGCCATCACATCCTTAAAAGAAAAAGGTGTATAGATTTCTGATACTTCCGTTGGGGCAGGCATACTTGTTCCTCAGGGAGAATGGTGGATGTATGACTTTCTTCCTATCCAGTATGTTAATCAACTGAAAAAGACTTCGTAAAGATGGAAGCTTATCTGGCTTGGGTTTTGAAGGAGGGATAGGAGTTTTTCAGGCAGAAATAGGAAACTGCCTGTGCAAAAGCAAGGTGTGAAAAATTTCAGAGTACATTTGGGGATCTGGCAAGGGCTCTGTACTCCTGTGGCAGCAAGGAGTTGGAGGGTTGAGCAGGTTGGCCAAGCCTATCGGTTAGGATGAGGTAGGCCTCAGGAAGCTCTTGTACCTCCTCAGATTGGAGTTCCTCTGAAGAACCTGGAGCTGGAGGACATAATCATCTACCTGGGCACTCTCGGGAACCAGAACGCCATCACCACCGACGCCCTGACCAACACCTACAAGCAGTGGTTACTGGCCCAGCAGAGAAGCACCGTGTCCACTGCCAGGGAGTGTGCGTGCCTTCTCTGCTCAGAGCCAGGCTGGCTCTCCCCTTTACATCCTCAAGTAGCACCCTCCTTCTCTGGCTTGCTATAGGTTTGCCAAGCTCTGGAGTTTGCAGACACAAAGGTCAACGGGGAAGAAGATACTTTCTCAAGGGCCCAGTTGCCCTCTTGTCTATTCAAAGATGAGTTCAGCTTCTGTCCTTAGAGGAACATAAATGATTAGTTTAAAACAAAACTGAGGACTGGGAATGTAGAGCAGTTGGCAGAATGCTTGTCTAACATGTCCAAAGCCCTAGATTCCATCCCCAGCACTGCAGATACCAGGCATGGTGGCTCACACCTACAATTATCGCACTCAGGGTAGAGGTGGGAGGGTCAGAAGTTCAAGGTCATCTTTGGCTGTGTAGAAAGTTTGAGGTCAGTGTGGGATACAGGAGACTTATCTGAAAAAGAAAAGAAAATGAAAGAAAACAAAAGGGAAAGGTTAACTGAATTAGCTTGCTCACAAACTGAATGAAGACTGAAGGAAGCTGGTTTGGGCTTTCTGTTTTCATGGATGTTTTAAGTAGGGATGCTGTACATGTCACATGTGCTCATGGTTTACATCTGCCCCAAAGCAGCAGAAGACAAACTAGAAAGGACTCTCTAATGTGTGGGCTATGAATTTACAGCCCCTATCTGTTTGTTTTGGGACAGGGTCTCTCTACATAGCTCTGGCTGTCCTGGAACTCACTTTGTAGACCAGATTGGTCTCACACTCACAGAGATCTGCCTGTTTCTGCCTCTCAAGTGCCAGGATACAGGTGTATGCCACCATGCCTGGTTTCTAGGAGGTGCTGGTGTTGAACTCAGGGCTCTGAGCACTAGACAAGTACTCTACCGATAGATCAGTGCCCCTCAGCCCCTCTTATTTTAAGTTTATTATTATTTGGCGGGGAGGGAGGGGACCACAGACAACAGCAACGCTCCTTATCCCAGAACCCAGCCCCCTTTCAAATAAAGCACATCCTCATTTATTTAAGTTGAATGGGTCCCCCTTTGCCCCTCTCCACCATGCTGGTAGGAAATTAACTTCAGACACATTTTAGGGAGGGGGAGTTCTGTCCCTTTGAAATGAAATGAAGCCACAAGGAAGCAGTTGGAGGGTCTTCCTTGCAGGGGTGCCAAGTTGAAGCAGGGTTTCTAGAGTTGGGCTGAATAGCCACACCAAGGGCATGTCGTGTCTCCCTGATGTGGTGCCCTTAGGTGCAAGTGCCCCAGTTCTGGCTCTCAGACTTCCTGTCTGAGGCAGTCCTGTGGACACACTGACACTCAACTCCACCCTCACTCCCAGGAGGGTCCCTGACCCATCAGAACCCAGGAAACCCAAGCACCCTCATAGTTTCGATGGCCCAGGGCCAGCACCACTTCTGGGTGGTACTTTCTCCACTGTGCTCCTCCCAGAGTCTTATGAATGCCCAGAGCTGCTGGGATCTCACAGCTGGCTGGAGTCACTACAGCACAGTGCTCAGCAATACTAGCTATAGTCAAAGGATTTCAATACGGGAGTGGGGGAGGTGGGTGGTGTGGTGGTGGTGGTGGTGGTGCACACACACCTTTAATCCCAGCACTTGGGAGGCAGAGGCAGGTGGATTTCTGTGAGTTTGAAGCCAGCCTGGTCTACAGAGCTAGTTCCAGGACAGCCAAAGCTGTTATACAGAGAAATCCTGTCTCGAAAAAAAAAATTTTTTTCAACATACACACATCTCTCCCACCCCACTTAAAAAAACAAAACAAAGCCCCATCTTGACTTGAAGGCAGGCATCATTTATCTGTTGACTGATGCTATTTCAGCATGGTCAGAACTCCTTGCTCCTGGAAGGTGGCAGTGGATAAGACAGATGGCCTTGGGAGAGAGTCTCTCAGTTTGTCTAAAGGAACAAGCTTCTGGGCACCTGGACTCAGAGAAGAGGAGGAGCCTGCATCTCCAGGGCACCATGTGGGCTGGTCATATTTGCATGACACTGTTTATCCTGGCTGTCTGGAGGGTAGGGTTGCTATGCATGGTTTCCATGGAGGAAGCAAATGTCCAGAGAGGTTGAGCTTCTTGTATGGAGTGTCAGGAGGAGGGAAGCCAAGATTTCACCTCAGCATGAGGCTGCCACCAGGACCATGGCAGGGTGACAGAGTCCTTTCATTGGTCCCTGTTTTGGAAGTATCTCTCAAATTCTAGGCCACTTGTAGGAACTGGGAAACCGCAGTGGAATAGCCCAAGCCCTGGTGCCATCAGCTCACACATGGTAAGGTGATGTCCACAGAAATGGATGCCTTGGAGACAACTGGAGGGTGTACCAGGGTGGCAGGCAGGCAAAGCCCCGAGCCATAGCTGTTGCTCTGACCCCTGAGTGACTGGTGCACAGCCAGTCTGCAAAGGGCATCCAAGGCAGGTGGAACTGCCAAGGTCAAGGGCCTGAGGCAGGAAAAACATTTAGGGTACAGGAGATGAGAACGGCATGGATAAGGGGTAACTACAGGATGAGGGATGGCAGCTGAAACAGATTCCCACAGGTCCTTGTGGTCCAGGGAAAGGAGTCTGTTTTTAGAATGTGTTCCCTGGGGAGCCAGGATTTTGAGTTGATATTGGTTACAGTCTTTGCTTGTTGGCTTTGGTTTTGGTTTGTGTCACAGTCCTAGTTGTCCTAGAACTCACTTTGTAAACCAGGCTGGCCTTGAACTCTCAGAGATCTGCCTGCCTCTGCCTCCAGAGTGCTGAGAGTAAAGGCATGCACCACCATGCCTGGCTGCTGTTTTATAAGGGTTCTGTTTGCCGCTTGGTGGGAACAAGGTGACAGAGAATGAAGAAGGAGCAGGGAAGGGGTATGGGATATGCAGATAGGGGACTTCATAGCAATGGAGGGGACAAATTCACAGTGCCCCTCAGATGGGCACTGGCTGGACATATGGGAAGGGGGCAGAAAACCATGTTGGCATCTGCTCAATGGCATCAGGTTGAGATCCACAGCTGAGCATCCTCCTAGCCCTTCCATCTTTCCTTCCAATTTTAGATTACAAATTGGCCACAAAGAAAGCTTCCCTGAAACATACCCCACAAAAGCAGCAGGCTGGCCCAGCCCGGCAGCCTTACAAGATGGACCTGCTGACAGTGCCTGAGGTTGATACAAAGAAGGAGGCGCGGCCCATGACAGAAGAAGACATGGAGGAGGTGGGCAAGCGGTACCGAGAGAGGCGGAGGCAATACAAGGTACCTCTTTAGCATAGGCTTGGGAACTGGGCAGGTCAGGGTTCAAGACTTGGCACTGACACCTGCTAGTTGGGGAGCCCTTGGGAAGGTCCCACTTCCCCTCAGCCCTTGTCATCTGTGTAGTAGGCAGCTGAGTGTGGTGAAACACCCCAATAATCCCAGTACCTAGGAGATCTAGTCACAGGATTATAAGTTTGAGACCAGCCTGGGCTACATAGAAAGATCTTGTCTTTTAAGAAAAAGAAAAAAGGGGCTGGAGAGATGGCTCAGAGGTTAAGAGCACCGAGTGCTCTTCCAGAGGTCCTGAGTTCAATTCCTAGCAACCACATGGTGGCTCACAACCATCTGTAATGAGATCTGGTTCCCTCTGCTGATGTGCAGATATATATGGAAGCAGAATGTTGTATACATAATAAATAAATAAAATCTTTAAAAAAAAAAAAAAGAAAAAGAAAAAAATCCAAATGGGATACACGCCTTTAATCCCAGTACTGGGTAGGCAGAGGTGGGCAGATCTTTGTGAGTTTGAGGCCAGCCTGGCCTACACAGTGAGTTCCAGGCCATCTAGAGCTACATATTGAGATTCTGTATCAAAAACAAAAACAAAAGAAAGAGAGAGAAAAGAAAAAAGAAAAAGAAAAGAAACAAAAGAGAAGGAAAAGGCAGCCAGTGACAGTGGATGACACTTCTCAGCCTCTCTGCCCTGGCTATGTGACGTCCACCTCAGGATTACACACAAGTGGCTAACCCTGATTTAGAGTCCCCTGCAGCCATTTTTCAGCAGGACTCTTCTGAGACACTTACTGCTACTGTGCCTTTACTGATGCTAGAACCACATGGGCTCACTCGGTATGAGGCTCTATTCCCAGGACTCAGGTGCCAAGTGCTCAGAGCCCTGAGGGGTAACCTTGACCTCTTAGTTGCTGCCTTTGGAACCTGAACTGCAGTCTCACTATTCACTGTTCTTTATGGGGGGGCCTCTCCCAGGGAGGTGTGGGAGGTGCCATGCTGCCTTCCAGCTGTTATGAATGTCACGAAGACACAAGATAGAGCAGCCTCTGTTCTCCCTGCAGCTCTGTCTCCCCTCCATCCAATACATGGAGCGCTGCCGCCTGGTTCGATCTGGGAAGAAGCCCTTTGATGATCACTGCCTACCGTCCACCATTTCTGGGGAAATGGAGGAGCTGCTTAACAAGGCCCGCAGGGATGTCTTCCTGGTCTACCTGCAGTGCTGGGAACTCTGCCAGACCTATGGTATCCCACTGACTGAGGACATCCTCATGAGAGGTAGGGGCTTGCTTCAAAGGAGAGCCTGGGGCCTGAGCCACAGCTAACGTGGAGTTGGCCTGACACTGGCTTCCCCATACATGTGCCCAGCCAAGCCCACAATGGCCTTTGGTGGGAACACTGAGAAAGAGGAGGGAAGGCAGAGACAGCCTGACTGCTAGGTGGGACTCCGAGGGCACAGGCTCTGAGACACATGGGCTCCTTATGGTGAGATGGGGGGAGGGCTGGATTCTGGAGCTCTGCCTCCACACACTTGTACCCACTTACCCACAGGCACCCATACTTAAAACAATATAGACACACACACACACACACACACACACACACACACACACACACACACCTGTAAGACAAATTCAAAACAGGGCTGGATGGGTGGTGGTAGCACACATCATTTATCCCAACACTCGGGAGACAGAGGCAAGTGGATCTCTGAGAGTTTGAGGCCAGCCTGGTCTACAAGAGCGAGTTACAGGACAGTCTCCAAAGCCACACAGAAACCCTGTCTTGAAAGAAAAAAAAAAAATTACCAAAGTAGTTCTAAGGTCTGAGAATGGAGCTCAGTGATAGATTGTATTAAACATACACACATATACACACCCAAACACATACACACATTCAAATACACTCACACACACTCACACTCAAACACACACACCACACACGTTCATGCAAGCACACATACATATAAATGGGCCTAATTAACCCATGAAGTTAGCCGCATGCCTGTGGAGGGAGCAGACGCCACAGGGCTGGCTTCTGGCTGTGCGTGTGCACTTTACTACTCTGCTCACCAAGCCATCCTGATAGCTCAGAAAAAATACTCTTTTAAATAGAAGTCTAATGTTTTTCAATTGTTCCCATGTGACCCTAAAGTAGGCAACTTTGGCTAATGGACCTGCTGTCTTTCTTGCTGCCCACAGCACTACTGTATCCAGGAGACAGGATCATTTCTCTGAGAAAAGAAGTCCGCCCGATCCGGCAGCCTGGAGGCTATTACACAGATGAGAATATTCTCCATAGCCTGACTGGATTCGGGATCCAGGGCTTCCACAAGCTTGGGATGAAGACGACAGACAAGCTGAGTTTCAGGCTGTCCTGTCAGCTGCAGGAGCTAGGACACTGGCATGCATGGGGGTGTCATGTTATACCAGTCTCTGTTCCCCTTCTTAATTAGTCACTTCCAACTAGCCAGTCCCAAAGTGCATGTCTTCAGGTCACACAGCTACTCTCCTGACCACAGGCTTATACAATCAGAAGGCCAGTGGAAAAGATTCCAAGGGGTGTTCTCTTACCCTGCAGCACAAGCTGGGGGACTCTGCAAAGGACAGGGACTAATTCCTTCCCTGTGTAGCCCTTGGGAAAACAAAATGCTGCCCTGACCCTTAGACTAGCCTGAGTCCTCTGAAAGTAACCCTCCTTTAAGTGATCCAAAGTCAAGTCCCCTTCACTCCCACCACATGTGCACCGAGCAGGAGGCAACACTGTGTCTAACACTAGTAGTGACTGCAGAAGAGAGGATGACAGATGGGGTGGAGTGGCAGAATGCCTGGGGACAGGCTTCAGTGCCACAGAGTGACCATCAGACAGGCTGTCAATAGCCTCACTGTACCCTAAGCCTCAGCATCTTCACGTATAAAGTGGATTTGGCACTCCTATCATACACCGAGAGGGTTAGACAAGGGCCACCGTGAGGCTGATGCTTTATGCTGCGCTTGTCCTGGTGTTTTTGAATACGGTTGCAGTCTAGGCCCACAGCAGTTGTAGCCTGAGGGTGACCCAGGCTGGTAGTAGCTTAGAGGGCCTCTGAGATGTGCCTTCTAACCTGTGGCTGGCTGTCACCAATTCTTAAGCCATGAATACAGGAAGTGGGCAGCTGCCCAGGAAAGAGAATTTTGTTTGTTTGGCCAGCCACAGGTGTAAAAGATAAAGGGGGAAGGGGGGCACGTGCAGCTGGAGATATGACTCAGCAGTTAAGAGCACTGGATGCTCTTCCAGAGGTCCCGAGTTCAATTCCCAGCAATCACATAGTGGCTCACAACTATCTATAGTCGGGATCTGATGCCCTCTTCTGGAATAAAGGAGTACATGCAGATAGAGCACTCATATATAAAAAATAAACCTATTTTTGTTTTTGGAGACAGGGTTTCTCTCTGTAGCTTTGGAGCCTGTCCTGGAACTAACTCTGTAGACCAGGCTGGCTTCAAACTCTCCTGCCCAAGTGCTGGGGTTAAAGGCGTGCGCCACTACCACCAGGCAATAAATAAAATCTTAAAACAGACAGCGAAGGGGGGGGTGGTCCCTAACTAAAGGAGGGACATTGACTCTCTTTCACCACTAGAGACTACTAGATTGTAACAATCCTGAGGTCAGGCTTTAGGGGTAGAGAGTATACAAGGCCCAGAGTTCAATCCTTTATGTTAGAAGAAAAAAAACCCCAGAGATTCTGAAGCCAGATGTGGGCTTGGAAAGGAATCAGTGATCAGTCAGTGATGCCTGCTGGGCTATTTTTTGTTGTTTGTTTGTTTGTTTTTTGAGACAGGGTTTCTCTGTATTGCTTTGGAGCCTGTCCTGGAATGCATTCTGTAGACCAGGCTGGCCTTGAACTCACAAGAGATCCACCTGGCTCTGCCTCCCGAGTGCTGGGATTAAAGGTGTGCGCCACCACCGACTGGCATGGAAGGTGATTCTTTACCATGCTTGTCTCACAGAACTTGGCTTCTAGAAGCGGGGAGTGGGAATTAGGCTTCAGCATCTACCGATTGCTGATCACATCAACTATTTTGGAGGCCTCCCTCCCACAGACAAAGAAAGCCAAAGTTCTCCTCCTTCCACCTATCTGGTTAAACGCATTGGTGTATGGAGACATGGCTAGGGCCTCACCACAAAGAACGATGTTCAGCACTCTGGTCTGAGACCCAGAAATGCACCCGTTAATGGGCCCCACCTGCTCCCCAAAGTCTACTGTTTTCTTTTCAAGGTAAGGTTTCTCTGTGTAGCCCTAGTTGTCCTGGAACTCACTCTGGAGACCAGGAAGCCTCAAACTCAGAGATCTGCCTGCCTCTGCCTCCCCAGTGCTGGGATTAAAGGTATGTGTGCCATCACTGCCCAGCTCCTGGAGTTTCTCTCTCCTAACAATGCCTCTTTCTATTCCCTGCTAGGAAAACTGAATCAAAGAAATTCAAGAAAATGCACTTCCAGGAGTTCGAGCAGTTTACTAGGTTTGTAGTGGTCTTGTGTGTCTGTTGGAGGGCAGGGGTGAAGATAAGAGAGCTGGCCTCCCCTCCAACCAGAGGTAGCTCTGGGACCCATGCACATTGGACAAGATCCTAGGGCTGGTGTGGGGCTCTAGACCCAGAGCCTAAGCGGCAGCAGAAGAACATTCAGAGTGCCAGGCATGGCCGCTCCGGGGCCTCCTATGAGTGAACTCATCTGAGGTGTTACCAACACGCCTGAGTTGCTCTGCACATTCCAATTATAGGAGAGGACAATGACACACAGTCGAGAAACTGAACCCAGGGAGGCTGACTCCTAAGGCTAGATTCCAGACGTGATATCCAAATGCTTCCAGATGGGGCTGGGTGTGGCTTAGCAGCTGGGCACTAGCCTAGAGCATGTGAGACCCTGATTTCTATACCCAACACTGCACAGGTAAGGTGTGGGGTTGGGGGGAAGGAAGTTACTCTAGACCAGCAGTTTTCATCTTGTGGGTTGTGACCCCTTAGAAGGTTGAACGACTCTTTCACAGGGGTCTCCTAAGAACATCGGGAAACACCTATTTACATTACGATTCATAAGAGTGGCAAAATTACAGTTATGAATAGTAGCATGGAAAATAACTTTATGATTGGAGGTCACTACAGCATGAGGGACTATATTAAAGGTTTGCAGTGTTAGGAAGGTTGAGACACACTGTTCTAGGGCAAGGACAGCACACATCTAAGTTTGGGTCTAAGAAGCAGTGACTGGGGCCTGAACTTAGCCACTCATTCACTGTGTGGCCTTGGTCTCTAGACCTCTGCGTCCTTACTGTCGAGGGGACTTGAGGTGTGTAGTGCTTTCATGATTTGGAGAGCATGGTCACAGCTCATGTGATCTGCTGAGAAGGAGCCCTGCCTGGTCTCTCTGCCACAGCAACCTGACCTGTGTCTTTTCCTTTTGCAGGAAGCTGAAGGCCAAGAGGCTTGGTAGTCCCTCACGTACACACCCCAATTACTTCTGGCCTGGTCACCTTCTGGATAAGCTGCGGCTCTTTCTGCCCACTGTGGCCAAGGACAACAGCCTGGCAATCTTCAGCCGTGTGGAACACAAGCGCCTCGCCTGCCCTTCCGTTACCCATCACTCTAAGGAGTGGTGGCCCATGAAAGACTGGGCATACATGGTATATGGCAATTACGATGCAAACAAGGTGTACTCCATCAACTAGGGTGACCGGGGGCCCACAGCTGCAGACACAAGATACCAAAGAGCCATGCAAAAGAAACATTCCCAGGGATAGTCTAGAGCCGTGTCCCCTGATGCCAGTGTCCAGGGCTGGGAGTGTGCATGTGCTTGCTACCCTGTGATGACCTCTGCCCTTTTGAAATAAACCAGGTTATAACTGAGCTGTAACATAGTGGATGTCATTTCCTGCTTAAAGACTGGGAAACTTGAAGATGTGAGTGTGTAAGACACAGGTTCCCCAAGACACCTTTCACCCTGGGACATTAGTGCCCACAGGGATGCAACAGAGTGTCCACTGCAAAATTAGGTAGCAGCATTTTTATCTCCCCATCAGATTGGGGACCCCAATCCCTGTGGGTCCTCAAAAATCAGAGCCACACTCTCTGTATGGCCTTCCCTGATTCACTTTCCCTTTGTGAAATGTACCCTGCAAGCTGCCATTAGCCGTGCACTTCCACGCTCCACATACCACTGGATTCCATGTAGCCTGTTAGAAAAGCAGTCCTGGGGAAGAGAGGGCAAGACACAGGCACAGGAGGGCTCCAGGCCTACCCTTCTGCATGCTAGCCAGCCATCTCAGGCAAGACGCTTTACTTTCTGGGTCTCTACTCCCCTTTACAGGCAGTACCTCAAGGTGAGTTGTCAGCACTCCTGCCCTCATCCCATCCCATCTCACTTCCTGTTGGGGCAAAACATCCAGTTTAGCATCTGTCCCCATCTCCTGGAATCACTGTCAAGATCACCAGTGATGTCTGCTGTGTTCGAGTTGTAGAATCAAGATTGTTTAATTTTTTTGGTAAGATTTATTCTTCCAGACAGTGGTTGCACTTGCCTTTAATCCCAGCATTTAGGAGGCAGAGATAAGACAGATCTCTGAGTTCAAGGCCAGCCTGGTCTACAGAGTGAGTTCCAGGGCAGCCAGGGCTACACAGAGAAACCCTGTTTTTAAAAACAGAAACAACAAAAAAGATGTATTCTATGTGCTTGAGTGTTTTGACTGCATTGCATGCATGTGTATGGACCACATGCATGTAGTGCCCACAGAAAAGCACATTGGATCTCCTAGGATTGAAGTTACAAGTTTGTGAGACAACATGTGGGTGCTGGGAACTAAACCTGTGTCCTCTACAAGAGCAGCAAGTGCTCTTAACCACTGAGCCATCTCTCCAGCCTTTGGTTTGATTTTATATCCTCCTAAAATTAGATTTTTCATAATGATCTGACAAACAAAAGCTAAGCAAAATAGACCAGGGCAATTTTAAAGTGAGGCAGATGAAAGATTGGAGGCAGGGATCTTGGAGCCATGTCTCCCAAATTCACTTCCCACATATAACAAATGAAGGAAAGAACAGGATCCTCCCGTGCAGCTGTGACAAGGACGTGAAACCCCACAGAAGGCTGGCTATTATAGCCTTGTTTTATAAGGAAGGTTAGCCCTCCATAGTCCTTGTTCCACAAGTACATTCACCGATTCAACCAACTGAAAAATGAGTATATTCAAAATAAAACTGTACCTGTATTAAGTACACAGACTGTGTGTGTGTGTGTGTGTGTGTGTGTGTCTGTGTCTGTGTCTGTGTGTCTTACTACGTATCTCTGGCTGGCCTGGAACTCCCTCAGCTTTGAATTAAGAGATCGGCCTATCTCTGCCTCCCAAGTGCTGGGATTAAACGGCATGTACCACCACTTTTCTTGTCAATATTTCCTAAGCAATATATCAATCTAGCACTAATTAACACATTGCCCTAAGTACGTACCACGAGAGGATTTAGAACATACGGAAGATGCGGGCAGGTTTCGTAGCACCTCATAGTCCAGGGGTTTGAGCAACTGTATATTCTGATGTTTTAGGACGGTTGCTCAACCAACCGTCTGGGGGACCTGTCAAAGAAGTATCTGTTTTGCTACCTCCTAGCCACGAGGAGGCGCACAAGGGAGCAAACATATATTTAAAACTGATGAGTTTCCACTTAGGGCGGAAGTAGATGCCCACCTAATAGGTCTTAGCTCAGAAAGAATTCCAAATTTCCTAAGTAGTCCCAAGAGAAAGGTCCGTCTTTAGTTAGCTCCAAGATGTTAATGTATGCTATAGAACACTGGTAAACACTTTTTTTTCCTTTTTTTAAGCATTACTATCAGTTCCTTTAGAGGACCCAGAACCGGAAATGCTTCATTTTTCCCTACCAGGACCTGAGGCTCCTTCCCATCATCCCTTGCGCGCCCCCGCCCCTTCCTTCTTCCTCGGCGCTACCTGCGAGGTGGCTGCCATCTCTTTTGCGGTAAGTCTGCATCGCCTGCCATCTGCCCGTCTGTGGGTTCGGCGCGGCCCAGCCGCCGGGTG